ATATATATATATACATATATATATATATATATATATACACGTGTGTGTATATCTATATATGTGTGTGTGTGTTTACTGTGTATATGTATATATAAAAATTTTTTTTTTGTACATTTAGTATAAGACTGGTTTATAAGAAAATATTTTATTTTCCAAATGTGATGGTTGATTAAACTATAATTATTTATTGATGTTTTTATTTTAAAGGACCAGCATTAAGGACAAAGAGATAAAGGCATGTCTGAGCTGGCTCGCCCACTTCCATGCTCTCTTCTTGGATGTACCTCCTGAGGGTCTGTGGCCTGTTGGGACCTACTGGCACCTGGACACCCGGCCGGATGAGCTGGAAGCCATGGATGATGCAGAGCTTAAAGCGGCAGCGGGCGATATTGACAGGGTCCTTAATGATTGTCACTTTAAAACCATTGTTCATGGAGATGCCAAGCTGGCTAACTTCTGCTTCTCCAAGAGCGGACTCCAAGTGGCTGCTGTTGACTTTCAGTATGTTGGCGGCGGCTGTGGGATGAAAGACGTTGTGTATTTTCTTGGTAGCTGCATGGATGAGAGAGAATGTGAAAAAAGGGTACCAGGATTGTTAGATCACTATTTCACAGAACTGAAGTTATTTGTTAAAACAGACGTGAGCTTTAATGCTCTTGAGAAAGAATGGAGAGAGATGTTTGCATTCGCATGGACGGACTTTCATCGTTTTCTTCTGGGATGGATGCCAGGACACTGGAAGATCAACCGGTACAGTAAGCAGCTGACCAAGGAGGTTCTGCACAAACTGAAGCAGTAGTAACAATATAGATCATTAGATTTCAGGCTGTAAAGATTTAAGTCTGATGGAGATTGACACAGAAAAGAGCCAGCCAAACAAACTCCCTAATGCACTTTACTCTGTGTATCGTCTAACATTGTATTATTTTTTAAACAAAACCAGTCATCAAAAAATTGGTTAAAAATGTTTTTATGCCTATTATAAAAACCATTTGTTCAAGTTTCACCAAGCAAGTTATAAATTTTCTGAAAGGTAATGCATTAAACCGTCTTGGTTTACAAAACAAGTCCTTTAATTCTTATGGGTACAGGGTTTTTTTTTCTCTGAAATTCAGCTTCAGATGCAAAAATATAATTTAGAAAGTCTTTTGTCAAAGTTCTGAATAGGAATGGGATTTTGATCAGGAAGAATCCTAGTTTAGTGATCTACAAATGGAGCAACAGAGAGGAAGGAGAGTGCTTTTAATTAACGTGAAAACAGCCTGCCACACAAAACTACATACAAATGTACCTAATAACATGAACAGACATCTCCCTCTCCTTTGCAGCTGTAGCACAAAGGAGAGAAAAATATTCTCCATTTTTTTTTATTCTGCCTTAAAATCTCCTACTCCCAGCTAATTAGTAAATATTGGAGCTGATTATCAAGCAAGGTATCGAATCGATGCTTTTCTAGAAATTCAAATCAAAAGGCCCTGAATAAATCCACATTAACACCTATAGCAAGTTTTCCTTTGTGTACTTTCATGAAAACAGGATAAATGTGAGTCTAAACTCTTTCCCTCCAATGTCTTATTTTGTCACATCTGAATCTCATCACTAGATCATTAGGAGAACTATGTAAAACTGGGCTGCATGAGGAGGCAATTCACTCAGTTGATTTGGGTCTGTTGGACTCTGGAAACATCCTGATGTTATAGAACAGAGGTCTTCAACAGGGGGTACCCCAAGGTATTGCATGGGGGTCGTGAAAGTTTTGGTTGATTAGACTGTTTTTATTTATTTTCTTACTCTTCCCCAATGCATTTTTCAAATAATTGAAATTACTTTAAACACACATTAACATGATTTCAACACACTGTAGTAAACAGATAAATGGAGGCAGAAGATGTCTTTTAGTCATCAATGCACACATTCAGCAACACACAGGAGCTCTTTCAAGCTGGGCACCGTTTCATTCACAACACCTGTCCCATCAACCAGGAATCAGAATCGGAAATACTTTAATAATCCCAGGGAGAAATTACTTTCGTTACATGACTCCATCTGTCTCCAGTCATCACAGCATAAACACCTTAACCATTGATGAATGAATGAAACATTTTTTTAACTGAAGTCAAATAGAGCAAAATGTTTATAGTCTGGAAATTATGGGAGTTATTAATTTATAAGTGGGAGGATTACCATTATATTCTTAGCTTTATTGATTTATCTTTAGAACAACTATTTGTCTCTGGAGCTGGAAAGAGGTTTGGTGGCATTTAAAGACAAAAACATTTCTGCAACCCTACAAGTCAGAGGACATGGTGGGAAACACACTTTAGCACTTGCTTTGTGTTTCACAATGGATGGCATGTTTACCAGATTATAGCCCAACATGTTTACTAGAACAACAGCTGTAAATTAAATGACCTGATACAAAGTGATCCGAGCAGGTGCTGATATAGGGGAGGGTTGAATATCACAGATTATCCCACCCTGTCCTTAACAACCACAGGCGATGACTCACTAAACTGGGTTTAAAATCTGTCAACATGATAAATCTGCTTAAAAAAATATCTTTTTGAGCAGCCTAAAAAGAATAGGAACGTTTCAGCCGTTGCGTTTTTATTTTCATTTTCTGATTGTGCCATCCTTTTCCTCACAGTTTTCGACTTACCGAAATTAAAGTTAATTTCAAATCGACTATTTTATTTACTTTTTTTTACTGCAAATATTGTTTTTTAAATATAAGATATTTTCATTATTATATTATTTTTGAATTTGAATTAATATTTTCATTCAAATATAACAATATAACTTAAATGATATTGTATTAGGTCATCAAATCAATTCAGTTCAGTCTGTAAAAATAAGCTGCCTGTAGTGTCTTTAAATGTCCAGCAGGGGTCACTATTATTCTGTGAGGCAGTACCAATAGTTTGGCAATGTGTTGAAACGCTTCATTAACCCATATAGGTATCGCCTCTGTCCGGATAATTCCTCCGTTTTCTCTCCCCGGTTAACGAAGGAAACTCTTGACATCCCTTTGTACTCGGCTTCAACACCCGACTGTAGCATAGAAACTAAGGATCGTGTGTTCATGACAGAAAAACGAGCAACAGTTGCATGTTTATCCTCCAGCATGGCCTCACCGGAAGCTACGTGTTGTCATCATCAGCTGTTATCGATGCAGAGGTCACGTGGCTTCCGCTCCAGAGTCGACATTACAACAACAAGACAGGCGAGGCGAGCAGTTGAGGGTCAGGAGGACGGTGCTGGTTGGAGGAAAAAGGTACAGAAACGCAACTTTCTGAGTATATTTGTAAAAGTAAATCGAACACATTTGATGTGAATAGCGCAGCGACCCGACTGCATAAAAATACTGAGCTAATTAAACTAGCTAACTAGCTAGCAGCTAACCGTGGCCCCAAAATGGTCTAAAAAAAAAACTAACAGGCTTTAAAACTTAGCTTTTGTGCTTTTGAAAATACTAAAGCAAGCGGTTTAATTTGATAATGTCGAGGTTGTTTATTCCTACTTTATATTCCACGTCCTCTTGGGTAGATTTAGCTTTAGCGAACTGTTGAAGCAGTAAACAGAATATGCAACAAACATGGAAGGTGGTAGTAAGTGTTGAAATTTGGTTTCTGTTTTGTTTCGTTTTTTCTTTACTTTTCCACGACCAAAATGGTTCATTATATTCAAATTCAAGACCAAGAACCACATTTCAGTTAGTTATGTTATGTCTTGTCTCCATGGCTGTAAAATTATATAATAGTTTTACAGTTTCATATGACGGTTCATAAAAAAAAATATTTTCTAGTATCTGAAAATGTATTTATTTTTTACAGTTTCAAACTGGTTATTTATTTTTATTTGTAAAAGTTGGTATTTATTCTGAAGGTCACAAAAATAGATAATAAAAATTTTATCTAATATTTTTGTTTTTTCTGAAGAAGGAAGGTGCAAGAAATCTACCAAACAAGAATGTTGTTCTTACTTAAATTTTTATTTTAATGGTGCAATCAGTAAGGTCCTGTTATTTGTATTTTATTTCCTCTATTGAGAGATGCCAGTTTTCCCCATATTTATTTTTATTTTTTGTTTTAATTTCCATATCTTGGTATATAATCGCATTTTTTTCTCTCAAAAAAAAAATAAAAAACACAAAATGTTTTATCCTTGTAGGATACATAACTATTGCAGCAAGTAAAAACTTTATAACCCCTTTTTGAAGATAAAACAATTTGTTAATTAATGTGGTATTCGTGTTTTTGTTTTTTAAAGGTAACACTCTTAAACAAAATGCTTGTAACACATTAACCAAAATAGTTGGGCATATTTGCCTATTGTTTTGAGTTGGAAGGGAAACTAGTTTCTGAATAACTTGGCCTCATAGTTGCCTGAACAGACAGCTTCTTTTTCTTAATCATCGTTTTGGGTAGTAGACAGTAGATCATCTGCACGAAATTATTTTCCTTTTTGCTTTCTCTTAGACCACTAAAAACGGAGTCTATGTTAGATAAGAAGAATATGCTTTGTCTCCTCTGTCTATTGAGAGGGTTGGCCTAGTTGTTAGAGCAATGCGCTTGTGCTCTGAGAAGGTTGCAAGAACCATAGCCTGCACTCTGGGTCCCTGAGCAAAACCCTTAACCCCACACTGGTGCCTGGGCCCTGCACAATGGCAGCATACTGCTTCCCAAGGGGATGGGTTAAATGGCAGTATTGCACAGTTACCAGTATAGGGCGGGGCCCCGATCCCACATTAAAAGTGTGGTATCGGCAAGTACCAACAAATAGGGCGCTGATACCGTTTTGAGAGCCAAAAGTTTATTCAACAACTGTCAACCATTCCAGGTAGGCAATGAAAAGTTCTACTGGATTCACTTTGTATTTGTCTTTTACCTGTTTCACAAAGGTAGGCAGCAGCTTGACAAGTTTGACTTTTATCAGTCATTTCACCCTGGACACACTACTTTGGAAATATACAGTGCCTTGCGAAAGTATTCCTATGATGGCAATTATTTTACATCCAAGTTGTATGTAGTTCTTCATATATACACATAACCAATTTCAAACATATATCTGTATGGTGTCTGCCAATTCTGCACAGCTAGTATCGGTATCGGGGCCAAAAAATGGCATCGGCGCAACACTATTAAATGTGAGATGTGAAGAAAATTGTCTCAAAAACGCAAACTTGTGAAAAGTGAAAAAGTGAAGCCTCACACGAACAAGCAGACATGACACAGCGGGGATACAGCAGACATGCATGAGCTGCATTATATTCACTGCACAAACCATATTTGTCAGCCCCCATTTGTTAATGTCTTCAGTCAACCTATTGGCTATATTTGCAGCTGTCTGGCTTGAAGTAATCTTGGTGGTCTGTAGCACGAAATGCGAGGGACCACACATTATCAATATACTGGGAAGTCACTTTAATGTCCCATGTCCAGTTGTTTTAAATCTAAAATGGTTCCAGACATAAGACTTCAGTTGGGACAGCTTGCTGAGCGGTGTGTTACTTGGGTCGGTATTTGCACACACCTGCTCATTTGAATGTGAACGTCACGCGCATCACTATAAAACTAATCGACCTCATTCCTTACACATCAATTTTGCAAAAATGTAAAGGAATCGATCCAAAATCGATTAAAGCTATTTTTTAACCAGCCCTAATTAAATGCAGAGGTAAATTTCTCCAACATGAGATAAATACATTTAATTTATTATCATTTTGAAATCATAGCCAGTCTGCTATTTTGTTTCAACCAACAAGTACTGTTTACTGTACAGAAAACTTCTGTTTGTTGCCTCACTTTGAAGCATTTTTTTCCCAGCCAGTAGGTTGTTGGAAACCAGGCTCTTTTAACTCCTGCAAGTTGACATTTAGCCGCTCAAACACATTTCATGTTGTTTATGTTCGATTATAGCTAGTTTGTATTGTTGTTACTACAGTTGCTTCAGTTTAGGTCCCAAGTTGAGTAGCAGCAATGTTAATCAAGTACTTTAGTTTTAATTTACAGAAATGAATGTGTGCCCAGAAGTTTTAAGCGGAGTTAAATGAAAAATGTATGAGCCAAATAATTCAAATTGAAAGTAAGCTCTTGTATGTTCACTACTGAGAAGAAACAAGCTGAGAGGAAGGAGAAAAAAACCTAATGGGGAAAAAAATAAATGAATAATCCAGACCAATAAGGGGATTTTGGGATGCAACCACATAGGAGTCACTTCTGGAATATTTAAATGATGTCAGTCTCATTTTTCAATCTTTCACTTTCAGAGCTCAATGTCGCACAGAAACAGTCGTCTTCAAACCAGACACCAAAGACAAAAGCAACAGTTTTTTTTTTTTACTTATTGAAAACCTCTGCTGTTTGCTTTTAATAAACACAGATAATGTTACAAAAGGTGAAAATACAGGTAATTGGCCAGCTGATGTTTGAAAAAAAATATAAAAAAATATTTAAACAATTAGGGTTATCACTATATGAAAATTTCAAACTCATTATCAATATGCAGGAAAATATTTGATAGCTAATGCTGATGAAGGTTCTCAGTCATCCAGGTCATTCTGTAAAAGTTTAAAAAACAATCCACTGGACTTGGTTTCCAAGGTTTGAGGACGTTTCACTTCCCCTCCAGAAAGCTTTCTCAATTCAAATGTCTGGATCCGCAGTGAGTTTGAGGCTTTATATAGACAAGGTGTTTTATTGCTTGGAAACATGCAAATTGTCTCCTGTAATACCTGAAACCTGTCTATGATTGTGAATGGTCGGTCGTTAAAGGAGGGATGGAAACCAAGTCCCGTGGATTGTTTTTTTTTAAACTTTTACGGTTTGATAGCTAATATTATATTCAATTCAACTTGGATAAAAGATAACAAATAATTAAAGGCTGGGGAAGAAAAAGTAACTTGGAAAAGATCTAATCTTTTCATCTCATCATGGACCATGTTTTCTCAACAATAAATCTTGATAATAAATAACCCAGAAATCTGAAATTAGAAATAGCAAAAATATGTAAATGCTTCACTATGGTATTGATACCATGCTAGCTTAGTATTATATCCAGATATGAAGTTTAGTTATCGACACCTTTAACAACCCTATTAACAATATAAAAAAAAAACACTCTCTTCTGTTTCTGACTTAAATAAAAACATATTATAGTTGTCTATAAAGGCACAATCTAATTAATTAGAACCAGACAATAAAACCCCTGTTTATCATTGTTCTATGGGTTTGTTTCTTGCTGTAGGCCTGTGTCAGTATCTGCCACTATGGCTGAGTTTAATCAAGCCTTTCGGGGCTCAGACATTTCTCCTCTTTGCTGCAGCCCTTCAAGCACACAGGGGTTGTTATCCTGAATCATTACCCATTACTCATGATCCAATGCGTTGTTTTTTTTCCTCTCTTGTGTTCTGCTCCTGCTTGTCTAGACTGTTTCAGTTCATAATAGTTTTTATCACCTTTCACAGCAGCAGGTTTGTCATCACAACCTCCATCCTGAACAAATTATTTTTCCTTTATTTCTGCAGGGCGCCTGGAACAGGGAGTCTGGTTCCCCCATGGTTTATTTTAAGCTTTTTTTTCTTTTCAATACTGCACTGGACATGCTAGTAGAAATGCCTTAATACAAACTGTAAATGGCTTTTTTAAAAGAAGCAATGAGGAAGACAAGACCTATATAATGTGCCTTAAAAGTTATTGTTTCAGAAAGTTGATTACTGGTGCTGTCCATATAAATAGAATATCATAAAAAGTAGATTTTTGTCATTAATTTCAGCACCACCTTCACATGCTGACAGTTTCTCAGCAGAGGTGAGTTTCTAGCTTCTCCGTGAAACAGTCCCTCAGCTCTGATGCAAATGAATCCCCTCTGTCTCCAGTTCACTGAGCGCTAAATCATGAGGGTTGTTTTCATGTTAAGAACAAGCTCAGTTTACATATATGCTGTTTTACTTTACTCTTAGATGACTTCAAGTGATAGTCTTCAAAAATAAAACTGAATTACTTCTTTTTTTTTTGAGGGCCAAATGATTGGATGGCCCTGGTTTAAAGTTGGTTGACCCACCAATAATCATGGCCCTGATAGACAAGGACATTCTAAAAAACGTCCCATGTTTTCTTAATATGTTTTTGTTTCATTGCAAATATAAAGTGTAGCTTTGACTGTTTGAACAGATAGTATTGCTCAGTTGACATAAACATATACATTTACTAAAACTTGTTGATAAACAGAATTTGACTTTATTTTATGCTTTTACATTTCAACAAATGTGAAATCCATTATAGTTGCCTATAAAGTAATTCATAAGGACACGAATTAAAATCTTCCAGCTTTTTTGAAGATAAGTTTGGTCATTATTATTTTGTTCTCGCTTCTCTTTAGTTTTATCAATTGTCATGCAAATAAAGTAAACTTGGCTGTATTTTTGTTTGTTTTTAAGATATTCAGAAAACTGGAGCTGATTTACTAAGGAACACTTCATCAGCACCACAATGGTATCGCAGAGGTAAGATATCCTATAACACTATCCACAGTATACTTTATTATACTGGATTTTTTTTTTAAATCTATATTATATTCATGGGTTCTTATTGTTTAATCTCAATAGTTTGTAGATGGTTGTTTCTGTTTCAGGATGTTAGATGAATCCAAATGTTAGCATAATTATACTTAGCATGACGTTTGTTTGCTAAATGTTGTATGGCTGCATTTTAATTTCTTCTTTCATTTTTAGATTAGCTGTTGGTTACTTTTACTATGTCTGGCTGGAGCCCAAACTTTTTTTTCTTCATTTATTTATTTAACCTTGTCCAGTTATTTCTACCAGATCAAATCTACTTACTTGTTATAATGATAATTTTCTTACTATTTCTCCATGTGACTGCTCTGATGTCACAGTTTGTCCAACCTCTAATTTTTGGGTTACTCACCAGATCAAACCTAATCCCTTTATGTCCTTGTCATAGTTTTAGCATAGATGAATGGAAGCATTTCAGCTGAAGGAGTCTAGTTTGATAACACTTGTGGAGTTTCATCAACATATTGTCCTGCAGTACGTTTTAATACTTAGACATTAGGCAAACCTTTCATTTTACAGATTCAGCTTTTTAGGGAACTGATAAACTGCAGTGGCTTTGGTTAAGTTGTTTTGCGTGCTTCTTTGTACGTCAGTCTGTGCGGGAACTGAAACGGGCTCCCTCTCAAACAATGGCTGATCTCATGTGTTACTAACAAAATGGGTTTACTGTGTGGGACTTCCCTCCTCATTCTCTCTAATTTCTCCCCTTCTGTTTTTTTTTTTTTTTTTTTTTTTTTTCGGTCTATCCTTTCTCAACTCTAAAATGGCAAACCATTCAGCAGGACCGCATGATGCATCCAGTATGTCTTCTCTTAGTCCCTCCAGCTCGCCAATGCCTCAGAGTCCCTCCAACTCCTCTGCTTCTGACTCCAGCGTAAGTAAACATAACACTTTCGTCTGTACAAGAACAGTCACAAACCACATCTAGTAGATGCTGTTCTTTGACCTTTTGTCCAAATTATCATAAAGTTGCACCAAAGTATTTGAATTCTGTTAGTTTTTATTTCTTTATTTTAAGTTTTTCTACTTTTGGTTCAATTTTAAAACCTTTGTTTGTACAAAGCTGTCTTTTCCCTTTGTTGTCATTCAATGTTTCCATGTGGTTTCAGAGTTCAGACAGCACCAGCTCTTCCTCGCCTGCCTCAATGCCGAATCTGGACAGCCAGTCAGCCTCTTCCTCCTCTGCTAATTCCTCTTTCCCAGGAACTAATGATGGGTTGAGGTATCGAAGTGGCTTTCCCTCCTACCATCCTCATACTCCCCCTGGTGTCCCTCATTGGTAAGCAGGTTTAGTTGATAGTTATGTTTAACCCAACATAAATTTTGAGATACAACCAATACAAATGACCCTCCCAGCTGCGCTGCTAAAAAATCCTGGTCAGGATCCTGGTGTTTATCAGAGTAACCTTTAATAGCAGCCCCAAAACGTCATCTGTTTGTAGAAGTTATTCTAATGCTGCAGTTTGATTTTTAACGCACACTTCAAAAGGTTGGCTTTAAATATCACAGATCTTCTAAATATCCATGGATTGTTGAATGGTTATTAGCTAGCAACATTTTTAGATTTATTATTTGGTTTATTATTATAGATTTTATCGGGCGTGCTTTGGTGCCGCAGTGGTTAGTGCACATGACCCATTTACAGAGGCCTTAGTCCTCGACGGGCGACTGGGGTTCAAATCCAGCCTACGGTCCTTTCCCTCATGTCTCTCCCCCTCTCTCATTTCCCCTTTCCTGTCAGCCTACTGTCCATTAAAAACGAGCAACTAGTGCTGTAAAAACTCCAAAAAAAAAAAAATATAACCATACTATAACTTCAAACCATTGGTGTTTTTAGATCATGACCTTTTGGGTAAATGTCTGCATTAAAAACCGTATAAGCATTAAGAAGTAACGGATACAAACCCAGTCACAAGTCCTTCAACAAATAATTAAATGAGTAGAGAAAAAAAAAACATTGTTGACTTTTTTTTTTCTTTGCTGTTTTCTTTTTTGGCTCATTGTTAAATAATGAATATAAACAAATATTCCACAGCCCAGATGCAGCAGAGTTCCCTCTGCAAGGTGGCCTCCCGGCCAGCATGCCCCCCCATCCAGCCTACATCCCCATGCAGATGCTGTGGTGGCAGCAGATGTACGCACGCCAATACTACATGCAGTAGTAAGTGTATTGTTAGAGCTGATCTTTACCTCCTTATTTTTTTTAGCAAACTTCCCAGTGGGAATCTCTTCTTGGAATTTCCCACAATTTGATTTTTTTTTTATTCTTACCTCTTTGTAGTCAGGCCGCAGTAGCTGCCTCACAGCCTCCCAGCACTTTGTCTCCCTCCTCATCACCCCATCAGCCAGCCCAACCCAATGAAGCTGTGCAGGCTCCGCTGGGTCCCAACCCAGCCCAGGACCCTAATCAGGAGAACCTGCCTGCCAACCCCATCCAGATGAACGCACAGGGTGGGGCGCTGCTGGATGATGACGAGTTGAATCGGGACTGGCTGGACTGGTTGTACACAGTGTCACGTGCTGGTGTTCTGCTGAGCATCGTCTACTTCTACTCCTCCTTTAGTCGCTTTGTCATGGTGGTTGGTGCCATGTTGCTCGTCTACTTGTAAGTCCTTCCACAGAACTGTGTGAAACTCTTAACACACACCTAATTTCTTCACTCATTACTTGGAAAAATGCACCGTTTAGTTATCTATTAAAACTGATTCTAAGAATCATGACAAGGACTTGGATCTCAAATTGGTTGCCATTCAAAATTTCCCCACTTTCCTAGATGGACCCTTGGCTGGTCCCTTAAAATTCCTTTTTTAAACATCAATATTCTTTCTATCATGATTTGTGGACCTTAAAGGAATAGTACACCCAAAACATGATTAGCCTTCATTTTCTACTCCCCCCC